GGCATCTGCACAGCTGAAATGGCCCACGGCTGCCCTGTCCCCGCGGAACATCCCAAGGCCGGCCCCCACAGGAGCCAGCCTCTTGCAGGCAGGCTTCTCTCACCTTCTGCCTTCCTGGCCCTTCTCTCTACCCCTCCTCTTTCCTCCCTCACAGCAGCTGAGGCCTCTGCGTGGTGGCCCAGGTGCCTGCCGATGTCCACTGCCTCTGCTCCACCATCTGTCCTAACAGTTGCCAAGGTGTTTCCCAGCTATGAGGACCTTTGCTGCCAGTTGTCACAATGAAAATGGTTTCCTCTGTTTCAGCTGGGCCTTGGGGAATTAGAGTGATGCTTGGGTCCATCCTTGGATGCAGTGGCTCAGGAAGCATGTGCATCCCAGAAAAGTGAGTTCCCTGGTGGCCAGAAGGAAGGAAGGAGAGGTGGCTGGCTAAAGTGACCAGCAACCAGGTAGGGGCAGTGGTTGTGTGGATCCTGGAGCATCGTTCGGGGTTTCTGAGGTGGGCAAAATAATCTCCCCCATCCCAATATGTCCAGGTACAAATCTCAAGAACCGGTGAGTATGTTCAATTACATGGCAAATTAAGGTTGTCAATGGAATTAAGGTTGCCAATTATCCTGGATTATCCTGGTAGGCCCAATGTAATCACAAGAGTTCTTGAAGGTAGAGAGTGGGGCAGAAGAGACAGAGGGATAGGATGTGAGAAGGACTCAATCCACTGTTACTGGACTTGAAGACGGAAGAAGGGGCGATGAGCCAAGGGCTGCAGGCAGAACTGGCTCTGGAAGCTGGAAAGGCAGAGAAACAGGTTCTCCCCTAGAGCCTCCAGGAGAACACAGTGCTGCCAGCACCCTGATTTTAGCCCAGTGAGACTTGTGTTGGGCTTCTAATCTACAGAACTGTAAGATAATAAATTTGTGTTATTTTAAGCCACTTAATATACGGCAATGTGCTACAGCAGGAAGGGGAAATAAACACATCTTCCCAGACACTATCAGGGGACAAGAACCTGGCAAAAACCTGCACATCCTGTGTCCCTCAGTTGACCATAATGAGGGCACTGAAGAGCAGAATCTCCTAGGAAGCTGGAGAGGCTGGAAGCATCCAGGATACACGTCTGTCCAGTCTGGATCTTCTTAAAAACCAGGAACGTGAGTAGGTGTGAGTCTGCACATGGCCAGGAGAAGAAGGCTGGCAGTACCCTCCACCACCCCAGTCTCCTGGAACCACCTTCCTAGTGGGGGATTCCCAAGGAGAGTCCTCAGCCTGGGAGGCTCCAAGGTCTGATGAGCAGGCCTGTGGAGCAAGCTTATGTTAGCTGAGCTCATTCTGGAAACCACAGCTTCCCACTGGCTTCTGATCAACAGGACCTTGTCTTGCTCAAGTCAAAACACCCAGGAAGCCAAATCATAACAGAGGGCTTCTGAGCAAGTTCCGAGATGCAAAGGTTTCACAGCCCTGGCTATGCAGCTCCGTAATCGTGCCCACAACAGCTGCCCCTGGCATCAGGTGGGCTGCATGCATCCTTGCACCTGGTCTTCTTGCCCACTCCCCTGACACAGTGTAGATGGCACTGCCAAAACCCCGTCCAAGCCAGAGCTTTCTCTGTGTTTCCACAGTGACAGAGCCAAGCCCCTGCTCTGGGCTGGCTGTCATTCTGTGTCCTGAAGAGGACTTGGCTTAACTCTCTTCTAGTTCATTTCCTGTTGGATTTAAAGCTTGGCTTTCAGACTTCAGTCTTAGTTCCCTCCTTTCCATGTCACTGGCAGAAGCCTCCTGGCCTTAAACTTTTTATTTTTATTTTTTGTGGGTAATAGTAGATATATATATTTATGGGGTACATGAGATTTTAATATAGGCATACAATGTGTAATAATCACATCTGGGTAAATGAGGTATCCATCAACTAAAGCATTCATCCTTTGTGTTACAAATAATTTAGTTATACTCTTTTAGTTATTTTTAAATGTACAATTAAATGTTATTGACTATAGTCACCCTGTTGTGCTATCAAATACTAGGTCTTGTTTATTCTTTCTGTTTTTTTGTACCCACTAACCATGGCCACTAATCATTACTTTAATAAATCCTTTCTTGAAGGTGTTAGTGTTTTTTAAGCATTCAATTTAGTTTGTGTTTGGAATTCAAAGTTAGCACAAATGACTTCCATGCCACTTGCACTCTTTCAAAAAAAATCATGACAGACATCACTAATCAATTACTGTACTCTTCCTCCCTGGGCCTGGAGTGCCCCAGGAATCCTTAATATAGTCTTCTAAGCAGTCCTCACCTAACAATTGGAAATGGCAAGTGAAAAGAAACTAACATGTCATCCCTTGATGCAATTACAGTTAAGGACAGAGTCATCTTTTTAATTCCTCCCACTATGTTTATCCCTTTACTATGTGACGGTAATTCTGTCACCAAGAGCTAGCATCCCAACTCAATACACCATTTCTGTGAAATTATAATCTCCATCTACTTTGAGTGGTAAAGAAAAGAATAATTCACAATCCACTGTTGAAATTTTGTCAGATAATGCAAACAACAAATGTTGTTAGCTGTCTAATGATTTTGTGTTATTTCCTTAAGGAAATTTCTCCTCATTTTTATCCAGTAGAAAGGTCTTGACTTCATATTTTCCATGTCTCCTTGATGTGACAGCATATCTGAGGCCTTGTTACGGGCACATGTGACAGTGGATCAGATGCTCTTAGGAAAGAAAGTGGCTTTCACACAGATTCCTTGCTCAACTTATATAATTGTACATAATTCCCACAACCCAAACACAGGCTTTTCTCACCTCACATTTTCTTCAGCCTGTTAAGACAGTTGCAGTGATGGAATTTAGTCCCACATTAGCAGTATCACTACTCAAGGGCTGATTAAACATCCGCTCAATGGCAACTTCTTAGAATTGTAAAGCAAAACCAAATGCAATTCAAGTGTAGAGAATGATTACACTTAACATGGTAGACCGTAAAGGAGACTCACATCGGAAAATGCAGCCAGAAAATATTATACCAATGTCTTTTTGTCTTGTTTTGTTTTGTTTTGTTTTGTTTGACAGGGTCTTGTTGCATCGCCCAGGCTGGAGTGTGCCTGCAGTGGTGTGATCACGGCTCACTGCAGCCTTGAGCTCCCGGGCTCAAGCAATCCTCCCACCTCAGCCCTCTAAGTAGCTGGGGCTACAGGCGTGTGACACCACATCTGGCTAATTTTAAATTTTTCTGTAGAATCAGGGTCTCACTATGTTGCCAAGTTTGGTCTCAGGCTCCTGGCCTCAAGTGATCCTCCCTCCTCAGCCTTCCAAAACGCTGAGATTATAGGCATGAGCTGCCATACCCAACTACACTGGTGTCTTTAAACTAGAGGATTCCTAATTCTCCTTCGGAGAATCCCAATAGCTAGGACAGTGGGAGGTCCTGTTCTAACGTTCACCTGAAAGCAAGATTTTATTACCACATTTATTTTATTTACTTTATTTATTGATTTATTGAGATAGACCCTCGCTCTGTTGCAGTGCAGTGGTAAAATCTCAGCTCACTGCAACCTCCGCCTCTTGGGTTCAAACGATTTTCCTGCCTCAGCCTCCTAAGTACCTGGGACTATAGACACGCACCACCACACCTGGCTAATTTTTTGTATTTTTAGTAGAGATGGAAGTTTCACCATGTTGGCCAGGCTGGTCTTGAACTCCTGACCTCAAGTAATCCACCTGCCTCGGCCTCTCAAAGTGTTGGGATTATAGGCGTGAACTCCTGGCCATCTGTTAATTTTTTTAAATATCAGACTTGCAGAAAAGTTGAGAAGCAGTTAAACACCCATTTACCCTTCACTATATATATATAAAATATATATATATATAAATATATATATATAAATATATATATATATAAATATATATATATAAATATATATATATATATTTTTTTTTTGCTGAAGCATTTGGAGTAAGTTGCAGACATATGCTCACTTCACCCCTAAATACTTCACCTGCAGCTCCTAAAAGAAGAACATTCTCTTACATAACCCAATACCATGGTCACAATGAAGAAATTTAACGTTTAACGTGGATACAATATTATCTAATAATCTGTATTTTTAAAAAATCTTTGTCTTGCATCTAATCAGGGTTCACACATTGTATTTGACTGTTTAATACCTTTTCATCTAGAGCTGTCTTCCCACCTTTTTTTGTCTTTCATGTCATTGACATTCTTGCAGAGCCTAATGGACTATTCTGCAATCTCTATTTGCCTAATTACTGCCTCATGATGTAATTCAAATGAAAACTTTTTTCTTTTTTTTTTTCGGTTCTAAGATCCCCTGTGGATGCCTGAAACTGCAGAGAGTACCAAGCCTGACTGTCGCCAATCACAAGAAGTTTCTGTTCAGGTCTTCCACCCACGAATGTAATGCCTTTTTCGTCTTAACTGAGCACTTATCACGCACTGTGGTCATAACTTTTGCAGTTTGAGGTACAACAGCAAAACCAGCACACATTCTTTTTCTTTCTTTACAATTTCACGGTTAGAAATTTTATTCTGACCATAGATTTTGGCAATCTCAGCAAATGATTTTGTTTCTTAAGTTGGGAACTTTTGCCTTTTCCCTTACAAGAGGCACTTGAGGGCTTCTCTTTGGCATATCTGAATTACCGGCTTCACTACGCTTGTGCTTTGGGGCCATTATTTAGTAAAATAAGGGTTCCTAGAACACAGGCACTGCAATTCCTTGACAGTCGATGTGATAAGCTAGACGGCTGAACGGGCTAGTGACTAACGGCTGGTGGTGTCTCCAGCATGGATACGCGGGACAAAGGGGTGATTCACATCCTGAGCAGGATGGAGTGGGGCAGCCAGAGATTTCATTGCGCTGCTCAGAACAGCGCGTGATTTAAAACTAGTGAATTTTTGGGGACGGGGAGGGGCGCGGCTGGCCGGTCTTCCTCTCCCGCGGCGCAGGCGGTGCTGGGCGGGTGGAGGCGCGGAGTCGTCCCCATGGCCGCGGCGCCGGAGCCCGGCGAGCCCGCGAAGGGGAAGCTCTTTAAGCTCCTAGGCATTTTCGGTGTTGAAAATATTCCCTGTGCCCGGGATTCAATATTGTATGGTTCATTACGATCTGTTGTGGCTGGCTTTGGACTTTTTTTTCTTTTTTATTGTTGTTAATTAGTAGAATTAGAAGATCAGGTGATGTTGGAGTAGGAGGATTTATCTTAGTGACTTTGGGATGCTGGTTTCACTGTAGATACAATTATGCAAAGCAAAGAATCCAGGGAAGAATTGCCAGAGAAGGAATGAAAAATAAGATATTATATGAAAGTACCCACCTTGATCCTGAAAGAAAACAAACCAAGGGCAACGGCAGCAGTTGAACAACCTTGAGCAGAGAAAACCAGACTCCCTCAAGTCAGTGTGAACAAAGCTAAGCTCAACCACGAAAAACATTTTGCATACAATAAGGTCTCAATCAAGTAAATAAAATTTGTTTAAGTTGTAATAAATAAATAAAACTTTTGAATTGTTTGTGAAGTTTTAAATTGAATATTTTCAGGCTGTGGCTAAAACTCAGGATAGTGAAACCACACATAAGAGAGTACTACTGTTATCACATCAGCAGGCATGTAATGTTAGTCTCATTATTTGTAAACCTAACTTTAAAATTTTTTTAAAACTATTTATGGGTACAAAGTAGGCGTATATATTTATGGAATATATGAGATGTTTTAATACAGACATGCAATTGTAAAATCATGGAGAATGGGGTATCCATTCCCCTCAAGCATTTATCCTCTCTGTTACAAACAATCCAATTATACTCTTTTAGTTATTTTTAAATGTTCAGTTAAGTTATTATTGACTATAGTCACCCTGTTGTGCTATCAAATAGTAGGTCTTATTCATTCTTTCTGGTTTTTTTTGTACCCAGTAACCATTCCTACCTCCCTCTGACAGCGCCCCCCACTCCTGCAACCACCACCACTCCTCTTCCCAAACTCTGGTAACCATCCTAACTGTCTACCTCCATGAGTTCAGTTGTTTCGATTTTTAGATCCTACAAGTAAGTGAGAACATGCAATGTTTGTCTTTTATTTTATAAACCTCATTTTGATCATTTAGTTAAGGTGATGTCCAAAAGATCTCTCCACTGTAATTAACACATAATCTGCAAAATGATAGTTTGGTAATGTGTAAATATCCAATACCCAAGGACCTCTCACCCAATGGCCTTAGCACCCATCGACCTTATTGACTGAATCAGTGATAACGAGGGTCTTTACAAAATAGTTGTAATCTAATTCTATCATTCCTTCTATCTTTATTAGCAGGCGCTCTTCCATGAAGACACACTGAAATCTTGGTTTATAACTGTCATAAATCACATTTCAAGCAGCAGGAACTCTCCCACTGGATATACAATGAGAAGCACAGTGTGCTGTGCGAGGTCACAGCAGTTCCAAAAATGGAAATCGCCATAGTTTTGGTTCCTGCTTTTCTTCCTCCTCCTCACACTTTTTCTCCTCCAACTGCTCCATTTATCAAATACTTTGTTGCCAGTGTTGTGGTTTAAGGGCTTCAAACAGGCCAGGCATCTGGCTCACTCCTGTAATCCCAGCACTTTGGGAGGCCAAGGCAGGTGGATCGCTTCAGCCCAGGAGTTGGAGACCAGCCTGGGCAACATGGTGAAACCCCGTCTCTAGAAAAAAAAATTAAAAATTAGCTGGGCATGGTGGTGCACGTGTATAGTCCCAGCTACTCAGGAGGCAGAGACAGGAGGATCGCCTGAGCCCAGAGAGGTCAAGGCTGCAGTGAGCTGTGATTGCACCACTGCACTCCAGCCTGGGCAACAGAGTGAAACCCTGTCTCAATAAAATAAAAATAAAAATAAAAAATAAAAAACAAAGTTGCTTTACACACATAAAATCATTAGTTATTCCCAACAACCCTATGAGGTAGGTGACAGCAGGCCCATTTTTCAGATGAGGAAATTGAAACATAGAGAAGCAGCTTGCCCAAGGTCATCCAGTGAGTGACAGACTTGGGGTTTGAACTCAGATGCATTTGATTTCGAAAGTCATGTTCCTGCCCAGCCACATTCCTAAAGCACTGCACTAATTTTTTTGTATGCACAGAAAACAATCACAGCAATAGTAATCCTTGATTTTTGTTGATTGCTAAACAACCCTTCATCCTTCTCTCTGAGTATTAGCAATGCAAAAGTCCAGAAGAATTGCATCAAAATAGTGACTACGGTTTCATAGATCATTTTCATTTTTGTCTTTATACACTTACCTGTATTTCCCAAGTTATCTACAATGCACAGGCATTGGTTTGGTGAGACAGATATATGAAGTGTTTTTAAAGAGAAATAGGGGTTTGGACATACATTTGACATAGATGTCAGACTCAGAAAAGCTCTCCCTCAGGGTTGCCTGTCCCTATCAGAGCCTGGATCACAGAGTAGACCCACCAGTACATGCCTGGGCTTAGGTCCTGGCAAGAGGCAATTTAGCAATATATATGACTTATTCTACACCAAACCAACGGAGGAAAGAATATAATTCAACCAATGGCCCATCGTCCCAGAAACTTAATCACAAACTGGCTTTGTACAAGACTCCAGGAAGCTGTCAAGGTCAGGGAAGCCTGAGCCTTGGACCTCAAATTGCTTACAAAGTAAGTTCAAGACAAAGAAACATACAGGAAACAACTTTTGAGACTGACAAGATAAGAAATGTGCAGTGCCAGTATAAGAGGATTGACCAGCAGCCAGGAAGGTAAGGTACAGAAGTTACTGAGGCTTCCAGTAATTTCTAAAAGGGAAGTCAGAATCATAGACCTGAAAGCCATTACTCTGAGTTTTTATGATTCTGGGCCTCTGTAACTTTCCTGTGTCTTTCTTTTGTTACTCAAATATTTCCCTACAGTCTTTAGCAAAGAAAACAAAATACCTTGCGAAGGAGAAAAAGAATTAGTAGGGAGATAGAATCCCAGTATAAAACCACAAATACTTCTGGATGACAAAAAAAAAAATCACCATAAGACAGCTCCAACAGTAAAGAGCCTGGAAGTCATTAGTACCATCTTTACAAGGAAAAAAGCTGAACAAACTGAAAAGCAACAACTTTTCTTAGATGCTGCAGAGAATGGCAGTCAAAGCACCCACCCTAAAAATAGAAGAGACAGAGGAATACAGAGAACCACAACTTACCTTCCAGGAGCAGAAGCCGCCCTGGAGCCGGCAACTTGTAGGAGCACTTACATGGTAGCTGATGAATTGCTGGAACCTGAGTGTTTGGACTAGTTTAAGTGTTATAAACTCCTGGGGTCCCTGTAGTAGGGAAGCTCCATATTTTCCTGGGGTTACCTCCAGGAAGGTCACCAGTTTCTCACTGTGAAGACAGGAGAAAAATCCCCAGGCTTCAGGCAAGAGGAGAGGAAAAGTAACCATTTAAAACCATCCCCAGTGGAAAAGTAACCATTTTGAAAGCCCAGAGCATTCTGTTCTCCTTAAGTGTTCTCATCAAAGGACACTGCCTTACCAGGGCCTTATCTGCCCTAGGGGAAGGGCAGTGAGATAACTTCAGCCCCCTTCTAGCCTTCCAGTCTCCATCAGGGGAGAAAAAGAGAAAGGCTACAGCAGGCACTCCACCCACTGAGATTTAATTGTAAGATTACACAATGCCTCTCCTCCCTAGTACCTTATGGTATTAGTTTGCTAGGGCTGCCATAAAATACCACACACTGGGTGGCTGAACCAACAAAGATGTATTATCTCACAGTTCTGGAGCCTGGAAGTTGTCGGGGCTATGTCCCTTCTGAAGGTGCTGTGAAGGAGCCTTCCTTGCCTCCTAGTTTCTTGTGGTTGCTGGCAATTCTCAGCATTCTTTGGCTTGGAGCTGCTTCATTCCAACCTCTGCCTCTACCATCACATGGCCTTCTCTCTGGAGGGGAGACAAAATTTGACGTCTACCTTATTAGGGCTTTCAATGGGAAGCCTTAATATGTCCTGAGAATTAAACGGACGTAGACAGACGAACAGAAGTATACAAATGTATTTAATATAAGCTTTATGTGTCATGGGAGCCTTCATAAGAAAATTGTCTTAGTCCATTTTGTGCTATTATAACAGAATATCACAGACCAGGTAATTTATAAAGAATAGAAATTTATTTTTCACAGTTCTGGAGCCTGGGAAGTTCAAGATCATGGCACCGGCAGGTTCATTGTCTGGTAAGGATCCAGACTCTGGGTTCAAGAGGGCATTTTGAGTGGTGCGTCTTCCCGAGGGGATGAACGCTGAGTCCTCATGCGGTAGAAAAGTGGAGTGGGTGATGCTTTTTATAGCATCATTAATTCATTCACAAGAGTGGAGTTCTCATGACCTAAACACCTCCCAACACTGTTGCACTGGGAATTATGTTTCCAATATATGAGTTTTGGGGGACAGCAGACATGAAGCCCTTTCAAAAAAAGTAATCAGAGTTAAACATTTATATACTGAGTTGGGCAAAGAATAGTAAAACTGAAAATATGATGAGGCAAAGGGGTTTGTGCTAGGGTGGTTATTGGGGTAGAAAAGTGGCTAGGAAGACAAAGGTCAAGTTAACAAAGTTTGTTTGTGTAGTTTTCTCCCAGCTTCTACTTTTTGTCCTTGATGATAAGAACGTTACTTTCCTCCTGGTATAGGGAAGACAACTTCCATAGGGAAGGTTTTATCTTCCTTCCAGGAGGATTTTACCTTCCAGGAGGGTTTTGCCTTCCAAGAGGGTTTTATCTTCTGCTTTTGGAGAGGGGGGGGGAAGGAGGGCCAGAGTAACCTCTTAAACTGATATTTAAGTGCCTTTAATGCAAAATAATCCCTGCATCAGAATGACACATTTTGGGGTGAAATGCTCTGAATTCCTTCACCTCTGTGTCTTTGTCTCTATGTATCCTCCACTCTTTTTATAAGACCATGTCATTGGATTTAAGGACTGCTCTAATCCAGCAAGACCTCATCTTAATTTAACTACTTCCATCTGCAAAAACCCTATTTCCATATAGACTCATATTCTGAGTTTCCAGGTGAACAGGAATTTGGTGGGGGGACATTCACCCCACATCAACAGGCTCCAGTATAATAAAAGTAGACTATAACTGAAAGAGTTATTTAAGACAGAGTTCTCCTCTAGGCACAATGGCTCACGCCTGTAACCCCAGCACTTTGGGAGGCTGAGGCAGGTGGATCACTTGAGGTCAGGCATTCAAGACCAGCCTGACCAACATGGTGAAACCCTGTCTCTCCGAAAAATACAAAAGTTAGGCAGATGTGTTGGTGGGCACCTGTAATCCCAGCTACTCAGGAAGCTGAGGCAGGAGAACTGCTTGACCCTGGGAGACGGAGGTTGCAGTAAGCCAAGATGGCGCCACTGCACTCCAGCCTGGGCAACGAGAGCAAAACTCCATCTCAAAAAAAA